GGACACGAAAATCGCGGGAGCGAAACACATGTTGCGGGAGCAGGCGGCAATGGTCAGAGATTCAGCGGGAGTGGGATTAAGAAAACAGCCGAATCCCGGACATTTTGGGCAATTAAGAAATCCCGGCCGTACGCATTTTTGTAGGTCCAAAAAGAGGACATGTCTGGGGAAAAGAGGACGTATGGTCACCCTAATTTATAATCTATTGCTAATCGATGTATTCTTTTTAAAGTAGCATATGGAACAAATTTTTTTTGCCTCATTCTGTGACAAGAAGCCTCATCAGATCACAAAAGGAAGCATTTGACTGGTGTTGTGGAGTAAAAAGGTTATGTTCTCTTTTGTTGGGCAACAGGTTTAGAAATGTGAATACAAGGGAGGTTTAGCTTTAGGCATTTTAATTTAAGCATGTTTAGCTTAGTTGACGGAAGGCTACCTGTTGCCATCAGAGCAAGTGTAAAATTACTGCATTCACGCGCTCCTTTGATGCTCTCATTTCCCGAGTTGTGCTTTTAAGTCGGAATGTGAAAACAACACAAGATGTGTTGGATTTGTGTTATTAGAGCTTTCCGACTTGAGTTCACGTGCATTTTCTCAGTCGAGAAATTTTTTTTCACGTGCGGTGCCAGTGATGATGCTTCTTACGTCCGTTTCGGAGAACCAGAGGACAAATATTTCAATCGATCGCTCAGGCATGGCACCGAAATCTGCGTTCGGATTCAGTTCTAGTACATACCGGTTACATAGGTACCGGTGCCATATTGGTACCGGGTTTCGGTACCCAACCCTAGGTTAGATCAGCGTAGCAGTTAAAAAACGGGACAAGGGAAGTCACGTACGGGACAAATCAATTAGTCTCAAAATACGGGACGTCCCGGCTAATACGGGACAGTTGGCAACCCTACTCAGGACACATTTAGCTCTACAAATATTGTAAGTCATAGGACACACCAATAGCTCTACAATTACTATAAGTAATTGTAAACAGCGTTTTTGTGCCCTTGAAAGGTGCTGTGAAAAAGGAACTCTACTCAAAGGGTTATTCCAAACAAAAATGAGCAGCTGGATTCCTTTGTGAAGGGTAAATGCAATAGTCACTTCAAGGAAGCAAATGTGCATTTAAGATAAAGTGATCCAGGGCGATTCTCATGATTCTGTTAGAAACACCTCATGATTCTGTTAGAAAATGTATTTCTGCATATTTCTGTAAATCTATCTCCCGTCTGTACCTCTTTTCCAGCTCTATGGTCAGTGATTGTCGGTCTCCCTCTCACATTCTTGGCTTGGTAAAGGGCAGAATCTGACAGAAAAGAGTAATGACGCTGCCTAGTGTTAATGTGAGCCTTTATCTGCACTCATTATTAGCCTCATCTTCACAATGTCAATGTGCTTTTAGTGCTGCCTCTCCTTGCAGGCCTCGCTAATTGACAGATAGCTACAAAAAGCAAACACGTGGTTAAGTCTTGTAAGACACAAACATTTCCTGTAACAGATAACCGGCCGGACCTCCCGTTGCATCCTTTGCCTTCTCGTTCGCACATACACGCATTATCAGTCTGTCCATTTAATTCAAAATTACTCTGAGAGGCTCTTTTAATAGCAGTGACACTGTGTCTGCGGTGTCCCGGCTCTATTAGGCAGCACTGGGGAAAAAAAAGAAGAATCGATATCATATCAACATCCAACGGAACACCTGACAGTTCAATTTCACAGCCGTTCTTGAGAATCGATTGTATGGGAATAGTTTGGGACCCTCTCAAAGGCTGACCGTTGTAGTTAATCTATAGCGCCATTAGCACGGGTCACTGCATACATGGTCATTAAGACCCTACAACTGAGAGCAACATGAAGGCTAGCACCTTTTTGCCAATAGTTTGTTATTTATCGAGATAAACAAATAAACTAAGTACAAACGTATGGCATGATGAATAAGCCGTCTTGATTTTTTCTCTATGTTTCGTAAGCTCTTACAAATCCATGTAAAGTCTGATCTTACACAAAGAGGCAAGTCTACCATGTAATCATGCGTGATAACGGAAGACATGATGATGAAGACAAAACAAATGCTTTCTGAAGTCATCTGTCCTTGAAGTGTTGCAAAATTTGTGTGTTTCTGATCATAGCTGAATAAGGGAAGACACTCATAATAACTTACAACATCGTTCTAATATGATAGAACAAAATGACACATTTCCTAATTTTCACTCACAGGCAGGATCAGATAAAACGTTGGAGATGAAAAAGCCCTTCTCATTGATGAAAGTCAACCTTTGTTTAAATTAATGAGGAAAGGAGGGGATGGTGGGTAAAATGATGCAAGCTTCTGGAATTGAAGCAGATTTTGGAACTGACAAATGCCCAGCCTTTAATGGCATTGCTCTTTACAAGGTATGAAAAACATTGAGAGTGATCCTTTAAATGATAATTCACACATAAATTATAAAATTCTGTCATCAGTTATTCACTCTACTGTTGTTCCAAACCTGTAAGACTTTATTTAACTTAATTTTATTTAAAGGAGACATTCTGAAATCGCTGCTGGTTGCTCTTTTCCATCCAGTAACACCAAATAGGCACTGAAGCTGTGAAGCTTCATTGCTTTTTTTAATGTCGTTGTGTTGTGCACTACTGGGCCACCGTACAAAAGGGATGCAAAAGTACCATAAACTTAACTCAAATGTATGCATAAGAATCATGCATTTTATTCCAAGTCTTCTGAAGCCAAATGCTAGCTTTATACAAGAAACATTACAAAAAATGTAAGTCATTATAAACCGATTTTGTCCAATTCATGAACGAATCATTTATCAATATTTTCAGTGGATAAATCTGTTTCTCACACAGAGCTGATTCATTCATTCATTCTTTAGACCAGGGGTGCCCAACCCTGCTCCTGGCGATCGACTGTCCTGCAAAGATTAGCTCCAACTCTAATCAAAGACACCTGCCTTTAATTTTTAAGTGATCCTGAAGACCCTAATTAGTTGCTTCGGGTGTGTTTGATTAGGGTTGGAGCTGAACTTTGCAGGACAGTCGATCGCCACGAGCAGGGTTGGGCACCCCTGCTTTAGACTATAAAAAAATGCTGATAATATGTAATGGAGAGTTGACTCTGATGATATCACTCAAAAGTAACAGCAGAATTATAAATTATCAGCCAAACTTTGAAAAATGACCTTTTTAAAAAATATATTAAAGGCTGTTGGCAATGAGAAAGCCTGTTTTCCTTTTCACTTTTTTCTGTCGTAACAGTAGGACCTTTTCCTCTCTCCCCAGAAGTGGTTCTCTCTGCTGGGCTACGGTGGTGTTTCTTCAGCCTATTAAAGCTCCAGATGCTGGGTGTGAAGTTCAGCTCTGTGGCTTTGTTCTTTGAATCAGCAGAACTGGGGAACGGTTTGATGACTTTTTCAATATAAAGAAATAAGGCCTCTGAATCCTATAAAAGAACCTTTTGGAATTTTAAGTCAAAATTCAACACTAATACTGCTGTGGCTTGTAATTGCATGGTCTGCTTATGTCATATGGTGCACTTGATTTGTAGCTTTATGAAGGTATTAATATTACAAATGCTGCTATGAATTTAAAGCAACAGTTATCAGGTCATTTTCCAAACAAGTTAAATGCATGAGCACACACATATGCAAAACATAAACACTACTTCACTAGACATTGTGAAAAGTGATAATGATTTTCTCACTTTGTCCTTGTCACTCCCACACACAGACACTGCGGCCCCACCACAGTGTATAAGGCAGAGTTCATGATGGCGTCACTGTGGGATCAGACTCAATGGGAGAGGATGATACCCTCAATAAACCCGTCCAGGTGAAAGTTGTAAAAGTCCCGGGAATGCTACAGCAGCGTGCTGCGAGAACCATCAGAGACGGAGAAAACCCTTTATGGGAGAAGCGCGGCTCCAGAGCAGGGTGGGTGTGGGCTGCTTACCGGCACTCCTTTAGATCATCCGACCATCGCTCTTGCCAAAATTTTACTCAACCGGAATTCCGATCCCTCACAGAGCTCCGGGAGATCTGGGAACGTGCTATCTGCAGGGCCCGACAGCGGATACGGGCCCTGGGCTGTGAAACCCCATCAGGACGTCCTGGACAGATGTGATGGGTTGAAGTAGACAGGGTCACTGGTCCGTTACAAAATATGCACATCTGTGAGAGTCGTCCAGTGATGCATCTATTTGATCATCTGAAATCATTTGACATAAAAGGCACAACCTCATTATCTTGACAGTTTATTGTTTGATTAGCATAGCATTTGGCGTAACAGCAGCATAGCATGTAGTCTCACTGTTTAATCTCTAATGACACACACCTGAGCACCAAACATAAAATTTAGATGCTCAAATTTATTTTATTACTGCACATTATCATATTATATTTAGCTGCATTGACCGTCTTTCTCTCTCCACACGTTGAGCTCGTCAAAGTCTGGCGTCCGGTAGGCGAAGAGAATGATCTGACGCTCGCCCTGGAGCTCCGTCGCGACGCGCATGCAGAGAGTCAACGCTGTAAGGCCCAATGGCTTTTTAGGTGTGAGTTTAACGTAGCTGAAATCCGTCTCGTACGGGAACAGAAGCACTTTACCAGCAAGACCCACTGCAAGACAAAATAAAATACTGTAACAAACACAAAACAAGCACAAACTCCTGCTGTATTAATTTGAACGTACCTTCTGTAGCTGCTGGATTCAGAGAGAGCAGACAGAAAAACAAAACCACCGGCACCAACATCTTGCTGCAGGTCTGAAGGAAACGGAACAATGAAATAATAATACATAGGCATACATACATGGATAAGTACATTTGTAATGTACAGTTTAATTATATATAATTTATAGTTTTTAAAAGGGAAAAAAATATTTTGCAAAGTAAATTTTGTTCTAGAAGTAAAATTGTTCTAAAACTCAATGCAAATAAATTAGAAAAAATACATACATAAAAACCACTGTGCAAATTAAATACTATAATTGTGCTTAAAATAACTAAAGCTACAATTGAAATGGAAAAAAAAATGGTAACATTTTACAATAAGGTTCCATTTGTTAAACTTAGTTAACAAATACTAACAACGACAAATACTTATAAAGCATTTGATTTGTTGATCTTAGTTCATGTTGATTCCAACATTTACTAATACATAATTTAAAATCAAAGGTTTATTAATGTTATTTAATGGACCTGAGCTAACATGGACTAACAATGAACAGTTGTATTTTATTAACTAATGTTAACAAAGATGAATAAATACTGTAACTGTGTATTGCTCATTGTTAATGTTAGTTAATGCATTAAATATACCTAACAAATAGAACCTTATTGTAAAGTGTTACCGACATATAAAAAAAGTAAAATAAAAATGGCAAAAAACCTACAAATTGAACCAAAATTTAAACAAAATATAAAAATAAAAACTAATTTAAAATATTAATAAAAACTAGTATCTCAGTGATACTAAAATAACACTGGTGTGCCATTGCTATCGAATTACAGAGCTGCATTATTATTATTATTATTATTATTATTATTATTATTATTATTACATTTTAGTAATATTACTATTAATATATATTTTTTTCATACCCAAAACCCTGACATTTAGTTGTATTTCACTGTTGTAATGTTTATCTGGAAAAATAAAGCAAATGTTATTTAGCTAATTTAAAGTATGTAGGGTGAATGAGTTCTAGTTCTAGAATGTGTTCTAGTAACATATTCTTCCATTACTAGAACACACGAATTGAATTCATCCTAAACTAGCATGCGATGACACTGATGTAGCCATCATATCATATGGATCATATCTGACATAATGGTCGCACCTTATGTGCTTTACACCCACAAACAACACAGAAACCACACCTGAGGTGAATTACACTGAATAATACCACGTTTATTTAGCCAAACTTTGTGCAGTGCTGGTGCCTAATGATTGATGTGTATATTTTCCTTTCCATTTCCCTGTGCCGTTTGCAGTGTCTTTGGGATTAAACATACACTCCCCATCAGCTGGAAGCTCACTTAAGATGGCCGAATACCCCATGAAAACCATTTTGTTGGCTCTATCGAACCCCTTCTCAGAGAAACAGCTGAGCTGAATCATCCAATGCAACTGGTTTAAAGAACAGCAACGTTTCTCTCCTCACCTCCTGTAGGCAAAGGCACACTGCGAGTAATCGCTACTGTTGTTATCCTCTGGTTTCTAATTAAAAAGTCTGTTCGAAACACAGAGCCAGAAGCTAGTGAGATAGCGTGTGTGTGTGTGTGTGTGTGTGTGTGTGTGTGTGTGTGTGTGTGTGTGCGTGTGCGTGCGTGTGTGAAATAAGTACATCAATCTAGCCTGACTGAAACTGCTGCTGTGGGTGCAAATGAATTGAACTGATCACTGAGATGAGTGTAATGATGTGATGAAGGTCGGATTGTGTGTGTTTGTGTCCTGTGGGGCTCTTTATGGCTCTAAACAGAGTAATGAGGTCTGTGTTAGAGCCAGAGCTGTGGGACCACACACACTCTCCTCCACAGATAATTACGCTTGCTCTCTTTCTCGATCTCTCATCTCACTCTTTCTTGCTCTTATAAAACAGTAATTTATTACATGGATAATTGTTGTAGTAATCAACCTGTTAGTAGCAATTAATACATGATTAGACCCAAATGTTTACTGCTCTTACAGTCAGTCTCTTTATAGGTTTGGTTTAAACTGATGGTACAGCATCTTTGACCTTGATGAAACTGAAATATTCAAAATCGATTTGAACAACAAGAGCGGTGCAGTTGCACAGTGTCTGCTCATTAAAACAGGACACATTGTGGTTTTTTTTGGAGATGACTGTATAGACCAGACAGTTGTAAGAGCATTGCTTTGGTTTTATGCCTCATTCGGAGTAACACAGAATAATGAGTCTCAGATAAACATAGAAGACAATGTTATTGCTCTGTGGTTGCTCTTTCAGAGCTTGGGAGAGCTTTCAGAGTTTTCAGTTATGTTTCATTTATTAAGCAGCAACTTAATCTTAGACGGCTCTCCTTCTGAAACAAATGAGAAAATTGTTAACATACTATATGACTATATAGCTACAAGTACAATTGGGATATTGCACTGCACAATACTGTATAGAAACACAAGATCTGAACAAAGTTTCCAAAGTTAAAAAAGCACATGCACTCACTTGTTTTTTTTTTTTTTCCCCAGTAGGGTGAAATTAGGTAAAATGCCCTACAGAAGAGTAACACAGTGGTAGAGACCTGCGCGGGACGGATTTTTCAGTCCCGCTCCTGCCTGTTCCCGCAAGATTTTGTCCCACGCCCGCCCGCTCCCGCAAAAATATATCTTATCTGGTCCCGCTCCCGCCCGTGACATTCATGTTTTGTCCCGCTCCCGCCCGCAAAAGCCCGCATAAAAGTAATCTATATAGATTGTTTTAAGTACATTGAAGAAATTTACATGAAATGGTTCTGTAACATCTCCTAAGCTCCACAACATCCCAGCATAAACATAACAAACTACTACCGATAAAATATTTGTAATTTAGACTAAGCATCAACATTCACAACCACTGTTATTTTTTACGGAAAGCAAGCTTGGGCTGCTGCGTTCATGGTTTGGCATGGCAGAATGCGAGCAGCACACTTCCTTTATTATCACAAAAAGCTGACATCTCAGTTAATCGCGATCTCATAAAGCTCTGTTATAAAACTAAATATACTAAATATATGCACAATGAATCTTTCAGAATGTCTAAAATGAGAGGATTCGTGAGCACGCAATTTCAGCACAGCGGTGAGTAGATTCTAACTTGATCACCTCTGATGAGGGGTCTGTGAACGTTTGTTAATCTAATGAATAATTGATTTGTTAAATCAAATGAAAAATTGTGTTTTTGATTGGTCCAGACGCTACATATTATTATGAAAATCTTTTCAATTATTACTCCCATTATTACACTTGTTTTTTCAGTACGTTGCCCCAAAAACACATTAATACGCAAATTAGATTTAGTTTATAGATACATTGTATATAATGAGAAAACCTGTTTATGGACATTTTACACACATTTTGCAGAAAGAAAAATAGTATATTGAATCATTCTGTTATAACATAGTTGAGAATCATCTTTATACAAAGTTTGATAAAAAAAAAAATCTTGAAAACTAAAAATGTATTGGTGATTTTAAAAATCTATTGTTTTTGCCTATGCATGTTCATTCATGTCTTTTTATTTTTTTAAAGAAATTGAGTCTGGATGTCCTCTACCGAGGACATAGCATAGCTTATGAATGAAATATCTTTATTGAGTCCCGATGTCCTCTACCGAGGACATAGCATAACTTATGAATGAAATATCTTTTTTTAATATATCTTTTTTTACATTATTTTTAATGCTCTAAACAATGTAAAGACATGGAAAAAACTAACTTTTTCGTACAATTTTTTCTCGGGTCTTAAGAGGTTAATCACCTCTGATTGGCCATTGCGTTCCAGAAATCAACAGCTGAGTCTGTGATTGGCTACATTATAAATGGAAACTAGGCTATGTCTAGCTTGCGCGTTAATCATTTTAATGTTAATATTAGTTGTTCTTTTTGCTTTAGTGCAACAGATAAATAACAATTTATATGTTTTAGACACTTTGTTTAGATCATTTCTATTTTGCGGGAGTCCCGCGAATCATTTTATTCTCCCGCATCCCGCACACACACGAGTCTCTTCCCGCCCGCACCCGCACTCGCCCATCAAGAGTTGTCCCGCGCCGCACCCTGTTGCGTTGGGTCCCGCGGGTCCCGCGGTAGTCCTGCGGGAGTGCAGGTCTCTACACAGTGGCATACTTTTTTTTGTCATTTAATAATTATTCATGGAGTTATGTAATCAGAATGTTTAATATTATTATTTAGAAAATGTATGTTTAATTAGATATAAATATAGACAATAATTAGATATAAATATAAATGTATTTAATGTATAGTGTTATATAGTGTATTTCAGGTTTATCCTCTTGCTTGGCATTCTGTTGTTTGTTTTGTCTGACATTTACTAATTATGCAAACTTACAAAAAGTAAAACAATATGCATACATTTACATAGAATATTTTAATTAGTATTTAACATTAATGAAATAATACAGATTATTTTATATATTTTATAATAAAAATTAATATTTGAGTTTTACATATTTTACATATGCAGCAGATCAACTCACCCCATTTATAGCTTTTTTTTTCTTCTTTGGTACAAGAACTAAATTAGGATGAAACAAATAGGATGAAACACACTGTTCACAGCATTGGTATTTGCCAGTTGTTTTTGCAATATTTGAAATATCAATATTTTAATTAAAATCCTTTTAATTACAGACTCTTGAATCTGAACACAGTTTGAGACATTATTGAGATTTGTTGAACCTCTACAGGAGACACAATTCCTGGGTTCTTTTTTTTAGAAGACAAAACTCTAGTTGTTCTTATTAGTGACTATGAGAAACACTTGAGATATTAAAGATTTTTCATTTCTGATGTTTCTTTCCTTCAGTAAACCTCTCCCTCTCTGCATCTCTCTTTAGTCTTCTTCGTCCTCCTCTCTACCTGCCCATCGAGGTCTGTAATGGTCGGACGGGAAACAAAGTGCACATGACTCCACCACTTGTTGGACAGGAGATGCTAAGATGGGAAAGGTGATTGCATTGTGCTGTGGCACAGCTTGTACCAATTTCCTGAGTTAATGGGATATTTTGCCTCGCTTCCCCTCCATGTTTT